TATTTATTATTATTTATTACTTATTTATTTTAATATATATTTTATATTTATATTAATATATATTTTAAAAAATATATAATTATTTATTATGTATACAATATTCTGTCTGTCTGTACGTCTGCAGGCCAGAAGAGGGCACCAGACCTCATTACAGATGGTTGTGAGCCACCATGTGGTTGCCGGGAATTGAACTCAGGACTTTTGGAAGAGCAGGCAATGCTCTTAACCTCTGAGCCATCTCTCCAGCTCCTTTCCTGGAATTTCTGTAGTCATCTTTGAAGTTCTGGTCTTTCTGTTGTCACCAGGTTCCTGAAGGTTTCCTGTATCACATATCCATGGAGCTTATGAGGGGGAAAATCCTGCAAATCCCACTCCTCCACAGTGAAGTTCACAGCCACATCTTCACAGGTCACAGACTTCATTTCTGCTTCCCAGTTCTCCTGCTCCCTTCACAACTGTTTCTGGGGTCAGTTGTCACAAAGTGACAGAAATTGGGTTACCTGAATCCTCTCTCAACTTGAATCAAGATAATGCCCTTTCAGACTACTTTTTTCTTCTTTTCAGATACTTCCTTCTTCTTTTCCTGCTGCCCAGGTTCTCACTAGTCTGGCCAGGCTAAACTAGAACTCTGTAGCCCAGGCAGGCCTTGACCTTGGAATTTATTGCCTCCTACTTGCTCTCTACCCTATGTATGTATGTATGTATGTGTGTGTGTATGTACGTATGTATATATGTATTCTTTTTGAGATAGTCTCCCTCAGTGTACCTGGACCTGAATATCTATTAAGCTAAACTGACTGGCCAGTGAGTTCCAGGAATCTGCCTCTCTCCCCATTATCCTTTCTGCCACCCTAGCGCTGGGATTACAAGTATGCTTACTGAGTGCTAGGGATACAGACCCAGGTCCTTGTGCTTGCAGGAGCAAGCACTTTACCAACGGAACCATTTAGCCAACCGCTATTTAAGGAATGATTAGTGAATGGCACAAGAAGAGTTGGTATTGGTGCTCTTGGCTACTGTAAGCCAAAGAGTGAGAACATAGACATTGTCTGGTATTGGAACACTTACAGATTAGGGAGGAGGGGAAAAGGAGCAGCACAAATGGTTTTGAGAGGAGCTCAGAGCTACAGGTCTGGTAATGGTAAGAAACAGTGACCAGTAACGTGGAGGATCACAAGAGGTCGACGGCTGTGGCTGTAATATGGAAGCATTAGGGATTTGGAAGGTCAAGAGATGGTACTGCTGGTGATGAGAGAGGAGGATGAAAGAAAAAGACACCAGGAAAAAGCATAGTCTTTCCTGCTGCACAGGGCAGGGCCACAGGCAGGGAGACTTAGCAAGAGAAAATGAGAATGCCCCTGGGCAGAGGACCCTCTGGTGGCCTTCTCAGTGTTGAGGACCCCGAGATGGCCAGTTACTTTTAAAGGTAAAGAAGACAGTGCAAGCACCGGAATGGGAGGAGTATGTCCAGGGAATTGACACGTGTTTCAGTTCTGGCACAGCAGGAATAATTAGGCAACGTGTTTCTTTTATCAGTACTGTAAACCCTTAGCCTGCAATTCACAGCAGCTTTAGAAGGGGTGTTTAGGCAGATCCCAGGGTGGAGACTGGAGGTGACCTCTCTGGGTTCCTGTACGTCCTAGAACCTGCCAATCTTAGAGTAGACTTTCTCTCCAGTCTCTCCCCCTTCATTCATGCTTCCTGTGGCATATGTATGCACTCCCTGTTGCTGTTGCCATGGTTCCGAAGGCAGGACTTACGTTTCTGTGCCGGAGTCTTTGCTATTACCACTTGATTTATTATCTTCCCTTTCATCCTACTCTCTCAGCCAGGTCTCTGAGTTTTCCATAGAAAAGTAGCTGGAAAGATCCCCTGATTTACAGATGCCAGTGACGCATCCTGCCGCGCACTTGCTTCACCTTTTGCCCTGCCCTTCACCTTGGAAAAGGCCACGCAGAGCCTTTTGCTGGAGAAGACCTTTCTTCTGGTTTTAGTGACACAGATTCCTGTGGTGGGGCTGCTGCCTTCTGGGCAAAAAGTCATCATTTAGGGATACAACCCTTTAGAGTTCAGATATTCAATTCACCCATGGGATTGCCTAGGTACCTTATCAACTTGGCATTTCACCTTCTCTGATTTCATGGACACATTGATGTCCTTTATCAACATATTCATCCTTTATAATAACAATTCTTTCTCACTGTAGAAAATTCAGAAGACAGATATACAATACAGAAAGCCAATCGTATCCACAGTCCTATTGCTGAGAAGTTAATCTTTTTTTTTTTTTTTTTTTTTTTTTTTTTTTTTTTTTTTTTTGGTTTTTCGAGACAGGGTTTCTCTGTGGTTTTGGAGCCTGTCCTGGAACTAGCTCTTGTAGACCAGGCTGGTCTCGAACTCACAGAGATCCCCCTGCTTCTGCCTCCCAAGTGCTGGGATTAAAGGCGTGCACCACCACCGCCCGGCAAGAAGTTAATCTTTTATAATTAACTGCAATAATTTTCCTAAATATTTTCATTCATGAAGTGTATTTAACTAAAATGGGGATTAGGTTCCGTTATAACTTAAACATATTGCTTTAGAGCTCTGTTTTCTTTTTTTGAAAAGTAACTTTTTTCCACTATACACATTTTTGTTTTATAACTAAAACATAAAGTATTGAAAACTTTAGTAAAACAGAAGATCAAAACACAGTAAATCATGGTTCAAGGACAGCCATCAGTGTGCAGTCTTGTGAAGGCAGTAGCTGAGATTTATACTTAATCATAACCAGCACCTGGAGGAATATTTTTACTGTAGTCTCTGCTCAGTGAGTGCTCTGAAATGAAATGTTTGCATTTTCATTATGTGTATATGTATCAGTGTTCCCATAGCATTGTGTTGTAAGAGTTTTCTACATAATCTTTTCTATTTTACTATTCTGTTTTGAAAATAAATTTTATTACCTTAGGTCTGGTTAGTTCACTCAAGAAGAAATCATTTAGCTACCTGGTAATAAACAGAGCTCTGATCTTTACAAGTTCAAAGAACTTTGCCTCATTCTATGAGGTTTAACTAAATGCTATATATCACAGAATTTCTTTGGGTAACGTGATGGACCTGTTATTGATGCTCCATGTGTTGTTTTGATTGGCTCTCACTATATTTCCTATGTTTCTTCAAGGACTGTCCTGGATCATAGGCAATTCATAGCATCTAGGATTTTGGAAAGTATCTCAAGGTTAACTGATAAAGTATTAAAAATCTGGATTCAGATTAAATTGTTACATTGGATTTTTAATTTGGATCATGTATGAGGTGGGGGCTCAGAAGAATATACAATTTAGAAATACACATTTAAGTGCCAAATTACTGAAATACTCTTATAATTAAGAACACAATTATTTGACAGGAAGCAATGTGTTTGAAGGAAAGTTAGTTTTATTGAAATATTCCTTAATCTCTAAGGCCAGCTACTAGTTTTGATGTTTCTTTCCCATGTCTGACATACCTGGAAAAACAGTCTTGTATTTGCTACTGAGAATTTTCTTTATAAAGACCAGTGTATACAAATAATATAACTTTATCTATACTGTCAACTTTTTTGCTGTAAAGAAGTTGTTTGAATAGCTATCCAATTATGCACTAATTTTTCCGTTTCTGTAGAAGAGGGGATAGATTTAATACTCAAGAGAACTCCCCCCTGTCACTTTTGCCATTCCTACTTATTATCTAGTCCCTTCATTTCTCTGGGCATTTTTCCTAATTTTAAGAGGTTAGCACTTGAGACAGGAAAATAGATCCAGGGAAGGAAATGCTTAAACATCCCTTGTTCTCAGAATTCTCATTTTTCTATTAAACAGTGCTTATAGAAACAGGAAAGAGGCACTGGGGAAGGTGTTTTGAAAAGAGCTGATAGCAGTTTGAGTCTCTCAGACATGAACATAAGATTGAAGACTAAAGAAAAAATGTACATAACTAGAATCAACAATATTAAGGAATGCCAACACGTTAAACCTAGTTTCTAATTAAGTGGTTAAGAAGAGTGTCTGTCTAATCAATTATAGGATTTCTGCAAGGATTTTAAGATCAGGCAAGTCTTCCAGTACTCTTGCAGCTGAAGCAGGAGAATTACAGCAAGTTCAAGACCAGCCAATCCACAATAGTGAGTTTGATGACAGATTGAGCTACAGAGTGAGACTCTGAAAAAAAAAGATGTGGATTATAATGGCAAACACCACAACAAAATTGGTGATTAAGTAGTGTGGCAGGTACTTTTATTATTCCCTGAAATGGTGTCTTCCTATATAACAGCTCAGGCTGGCTTGGGACTCATAATGTAGCCCAAGTAGCAATGGAGCTAGAGATGTTTATACCTCAGCCTTCTTGGAGCTCGGAATACAGGAATGCATCACTATATCTGGTTTCATCAAAAACACTTTTAGACAGTTTCAGGGAAGTCATCAGCCAGAGTGTCATGGTGGCAATCAAGTCAGGTAGCTACAATGACATCATACTTGTTGGTATAGCAACAGGACTGATCTGACAGTACACAGGACATGTCTGTTCCTAGCCACAGGCGTAAAAGACACAAGAATAAATAGGCAAAGAAGGCTCGCGTATTTTGAGTTGCCCTATGGCAGGGCTTAAAACCATCTAACTTGGAGCGATTATTTCAGAGAATGAAGAAAATGAGCCTGGACAGGTAGAGTCCTAACATTTGGCCATAAAATTCTTTGTTTTGGGTCCTAAGCAGTGCATCAAATTAAGATTCTGATTTAGAGAACTTGAACTTGGGTTTCAGGAACACCTAGGATTCCTAGGATTCCTGTTTGACATGTTTGCTCCACTGCCTAGTGCCATCTACCTGCAGACCCTGAACCCATCAGAGCAGCTCTGACTGTTCTAATCCTAGACAAGGCTGCAGATTTGGGTATTGGCACAGGGCTGAAAGTTAAGCACCCAAAAGATCAATCCTGAATGACAACAGGTTTTCCTCTCCTTTTGAAAACTATTTTCAGGAAAAGGAGAAGAGATGACAACGAGGAGGACAACCAAGATGACCCTCATTCAAAGAGGAATAAGAAGGACCAGGCCTTCCAGGACCCTCACGCTATAGAGGTAGGAGCGATGGCCACACAGCTTCTCCATTTGACTCATTGCCCACTCTGTGGCATTCATTTCCATCTCCACTTTGGCAAGAGAATCCTCCCAGATACACTCATGAAAGTCTTCTTTGTGGCTGCAATGGTTTTGAGGCAGAGCAGGATTTTAAGTATTGACACAAACATAGCTTTACCGTGCAGCAGGACAGAGACAGGACCCACAGAGATATTTTCCCAAGCCCAGCCAGGAGGAATGGGGTTCCAGAAATTCCCTCACCTTGCAAATAGGGAGGGAGAATTGAACCCCACCTTCTGTGGTTAGGAAAGACATAAACTTGAAGAATAGAGTGGCGGGCTACTAGCTGCAATGCTCTTCTTGCTTTCTCCCTGAAAAAACAAAAAGCAAAGTGGGGTTGTGTGAAGGGACGTGGGAGAGCTTTAGGGATGCTTATGTCAAAGAGCTGGCATTACAACTTCCACAGTCTTAACTTTAACAGCCAGTAAGGTGTAACACAACATGGTTTGAATGGAAGCATAAGAGAGGAGGGAGCATTGTAAAGGTTTTCTGGGCAGCTCTCATCAGGCAATGAGTAAGTATGGCTGACTTTTACCTTTCTCAAGCAAGAGATGAAAGGCTTGTCAAAGCATGCCATTCCCTTGGGACAGACACAGGTAGGTTTTGGATAAAATGTACCTAGATCTACCCGAGTTTAGCAAGTAGAGTTCTTGACCCATTGAAGTTTCTGCTGCATATGGTCACCTAAATGTGAACACTGCCTTTGTTCCCAAGGTTAGCATCTTTAGATGTGTGCATGTAAATCTGCTCCCTGATTCTAAGGTATGAGATACGGTAGAGCAAACATAAAGACGAAAGCTTCTGTACATGTCTGTCTTCCTGATAGAGAACAATGGCTTCACAGTGTTCTCTGATGAGTGAGTGAAATAAGAAATGGAGACTCAAGGAGAGCATGTGGATTACTAGTGCAGGTCCCAGGCCTTTACTCTGCTATTGATCACATGGACTTGATGCTCACGTTCCAAGAAAACAGCAGACAGACAATCGAGAAAAGTGCATTATGTGCCTCACACCTACTTAGGTTAGGCTTCTGTGCACCCTTCACGTGTCCAACTCGGGATTATAGCTCTTTGTGACACCAGTGTTGTAGGCAGGGTAAGGGAAGCTGTCTGCTGGAATGTTTAGTAATTGGTTATATTTCTTTCTGGTGCTAGCAGTTTGTGGGCTGTGGTGGTTGATTTACCTGACAGCCTGACAGGACTTGCAAGCACCCGAGAAAGAGATCTCTTTTTAATACTCTTTTGAATTCTTTGAAATTTCTTGGTTACCTTCATGTGCACAGTACGATATTTCTTCATCATCTTCATCTGCAATCTCTCCTGGCACCTCGTGGATGTAGATGTCCTGTCTGTGGCTGAGCACTCACTGTTGCTCAAGGCCAGCCCTTCCAAACATAACGTGTCTCTGCATTGATGACTACTCATTGCAACTAGAAGCTTCTCAAACCAGTGTTGAGAGCAGTGGAGACTTAGGCAAGCAAACATGAATATTTAAAAGGCAGTTTAACAACATGTTCATTTAGCAGACTGACAGTAAGTCCTCCCCCAGCACTTTGAAGGAAGTATCGGTTCACTAATAATATGTCTTGACAATGTTTATAGCACCAGGCATACCCTCATTCACGTGGAGCAGGCTTCAGATTCAATCAGGACAAGAATTGGTTAGGTGCAGGAACAGAACTGCAGTCATTACACGAGTGGGCTCATCATGCCTTGCAAGCCAGTATTGTATTGTTCTGGGTCCAGCAATGGGTAAGATCACTTACATCCTTTCCCTCATGACAGCCATCATAACACCTTCACGGTACTGTGAACAATAGCCAGCTGGGAGATTTCCAGGTGAGTTTAAGACTGACTTCCCTACAACCTGTAACAAAAGTGTATAGTATCTCAGCCACAGGTGCCTATTGGCTTGTTCTGTTGGGCAACCAATAGCAGTGGCAATTGCCTTTACAGTTTGGTCACCTCTGAGGCCTGCTGGACAATAAGGAGGTAATCTGTGTGCAGGGCTGAGATTTTTACTTAATGACCTATGGCTTCAGGGAATAACATTGTTCACCTCCAAGCAGTATCCTTGTTAAAAATAGTGTGTATGGGGTCTGAAGAGATGGCTCAGATGTTAAGAGTACTGTCTGCTTTTCCAGGAGACCTGGGTTCAATTCCCAGCACCACATGGCAGCTCACACCTGTCTGTAACTCCGGATTCAAGGCATCTGATGCATTCACACAGACGTACTTACTACTACTACTTTCTACTCACTACTTATGTTCTGGCAATGCTTATGCATTTAGGAGCACCCCATTTATGGGCCCTCTCTGGTTGTTCCTATCCTGGGAAGGCCCAGATGCTTGAATTATTGTCAAACCCAAAGTTCCACAGTCTTCCTTTATGCTGTCTATTTACACAGACATACATGGAGGCAAAACTCCAAAGAATATAGGATGACACAGACAAAGGTGCAGGTAAAACACCAATGTACATAGGATGAACGAAACATTGAAAATTGCATGTACGCTATGTGCTTGGTTCAGCACATGTCCTTGTGGTGCCTCGTTTATCATCTAGTGCATTTCACAAAGCTTCTTCATACACCCCGAGTTTCCCTTAGCTGTCCACATCCTGTCCTGTCCAATCCCTTCCCCTATTCTCACTTCACTTCTCCACCCACAGTCTGCCCCTCACATTCTCTCATATCATGTCTTCCACCACCTCCTCTTACTTATTGTTCTCGGGGTCTAAGGTCATCGGTCCTCATGTAGCATCTTTCTGGTTAACCCTTACAACAATTCCTCCTTTTCCCATTCCCATTATTCCACAAGATGCTTGAGCTCTACTGACACCATGATTTCTGCTCTCCACTTTAGTGTTACCAGTATTGTGCTCTTTTCCGTCCTTCGTGCAATCTTCTCCCAACTCAAGGGCCTGTTTCTAGTTTCTTGGGTCCCAAAGGGACTTCAGGGTAAGCACACAAAACAAAATGGTCCCACATAGGAGTGAAATAGGACCCACATAGGAGGGAAAAAATGTGGTGTTTGTCCTTTTGAAGGTGGGGTGACCTTACTCAGTATAATTTTTTTCCAGTTCAATTCATTGACTTTCAAATAGTCTTATTGAAGAATGATTTAATGAGGTTGGGGTATGACTGTGGCGTTATCTTAATTGTTAGTGAATGCAGTAAGCCCCAACCCATTGTGAGTCGTGCCACTCCCTAGGCGAGGCATCTAGAATGTATACGTGAAGAGGAAAGCCAGCTGTAAGCAAGAGATCAAGCAAGCAGGGATTCCTGTGCTTAGTCTTTCTCTGCTCTTGACTCATGTGAGATGCTTTTCAAGTTCCTGCATTGATTTCTTGCAATAAGGGATGAAACCCTGGATCTGTAAGCCAAAGCAAACATTCATCTCTGAGTAGCTTTTGGTCAGGGTGTTTTATCACAGCAACAGAAATGAAATAGGGACCCATGTACCTCAGTCTTGACTCCCTTGTACAATGTGGAAGACTGAACACCATGAGGGAGACATGAGAGGGCTCTGAGTCTTTCACTGAGGTGAAGAAATGTCCTTAGTTGTGCTGTGAAACCTAAGCAAAGGGGGTGCCTTCTGAAGTGATCTTAGAAGATACATTCATTGGAAGGGTGTGTATGGGGGTGAGGGAGCTGTGCTAAAGTGGCCTTATAGCTTGTAGACGTTTTAAGAACCCTTGACCATGGAGTATGCCAAGTATGGCGAGCATTCTCATATGCAAGTTCACCTTAGACTCTGGAGTTGTCGATTGACGATAAGCATGCGTTCTACAGATGAGGCTTCCTAGTCATCTTTGTTTGCCTTGTTCAAACTCCACTCACTCCTTTCACACAGAAGAGGTCATATCAGAGGTGGAATTTTTCAGTTACATTGCAGATTAGAACTCCAGATATGGCCCAATTTTACCTTCTGGTCTTCAGATTGCCTGAATTAGGCCCCTTCCCTGCACAAAGAATTTCCCATATGATGTCATTCATTCCCTTGTTCATTTGCAAAGTGGTAGTAATCCAACAGCCTGCTTTCTTGGGTGCCCTCTGACTCAAGAGTGTGCAGTGTTTGGTGGGATCAGTAGAGCAGGGTCTGCCCTTGTAAATGTGAGGAGCTTTTGGGAGTTCATAGTCTAAAGTCTTCAGTGGGCTTTTTAGGGCTTGTCAGTTTTGGTTAGTAAACAACATCATTTAATTCCTGGGGTGCAATGGGTATTAAGGGTGAATTTCATTACACTGTTGGGGTTTCAGAAACGAGTATCTCTGAGGTATATAGGAACGGAATTGAATGAAAAGCCAGCGCTGAAGATCAGAAATGCTGAATTCACTTGCTTTTTACCTTAGGAAGCATTATCCAGTTCTATAGCATGCATATTCATGAATTTTCATTCAGTATTTGGGGTGATACTTCAGGATAACTTTCTTCCTTATCACTTCTGTTTCCATTTCCCCAGGATTTGTGTCACTACCAATGAAGGCTCTCTCTCCACCCCTGGAGACTTGCCATACTTCTTCCAGGTGCTGCCTTCCTCCTCACCTTTGATTTGAAGCTGCTGTCTGCATTCCAACCACCTCCTGTTTGCCAGTTCCTTTCCTAAAGCTGCCCACTGCACCTTTCTGTCTGCAGCTGCCCCTTCCTTTGCCTTAGCTTACACTAGAACTCAATCTGGGGAGCATGCTAAGCTAAAATGCTGGAATATAGAAATTGCCAGGTGATGTCTGCAGTGGTCAGTATGTTTTTGTGTGTGTTTGTGTATGTGCACTGTTCTCAGCGACTGTCTCCCCTTCACTCTCTGGGTGTCACCGGACATTGCTTTGTGTTTCTGTCAATATCACCAAGACCTGTGTGGCCTGTTTCTGGATACTTAAAAAACTTTGTGGGTGTCCTCTGTCATATTTGTCCTCCTTTCCCATTCATCCATGTGAGCATCTG